AGCGGATGGGTGTCACAGACGTTCACATCCGCCCAGATTGATGAGGCGGAGGAGTGCCAGTCGGCGGATGAGACCTGCGGGGAATGGGCGGTGCTGGCGGACGCGTGTCATCGGCGGATGAATTGTTGCTAGGGAGTGGAGGGTATCGGCGGACGAAATGTTTTGGCGGATGAGAAATCATGATTGTCGGCGGATGGAGCTCAACTGCCCCTAGGCTTTTGCGGCGGATGGTCCTCATGGGTTGTTGCGCGAGTAGACATAGAAAGGTACAGTAATCATACACGCGCTACTGTAGTCGTAGATATACAAATTGAACATGCTGAGCGGACGGATGTCACAGACGTTCACATCCGCCGAGATTGATGATGCGGATTACACTCTGCGTATAAGCATTGCCGGCGGATGATACCTGACGGTGGTATCTTGTATCCCATGGTGCGCACTTGTAGTCATTTCTAGTTTTTTTTATTAGTATGGTTTTTTTTTTAGCGCTTGCAACGAATAATGATCTAAGGCCGCGTTGACGTATTTGTAGTTAACGAATTGCCCTAGCTTCGGCAATAAAGCGCCTGCCGTTCCGATTACCGCGCAAACAGTAGCAAAGTCAAATTCCCATTCCACGCGTACGAACCCTTGTCGACATCCACCTCGACGTACGCGCCACGCTCACCATCTTACAATGAATCAAGCCCTCGACGACGCCCTCGACACCGTCATCCAGCTCATGGAGGCGGAAGACCGCGAAGACCACGAGAACGACGAAGAGCGCGAGGACGACGAAGACGCTACGAGCTACGAGTCTGACGTTACCCGCGTTGGCACCTCCGTGTCGATCGAAGAGATACCGCGTCCATCTGACGCACCACCCCCTGGCCACCACCATGCACCCAGACCAAGGCTCCCGGTATGGGCACCCCCGGGCACTTCCTTGCCTACGGATGCAGCAAGCGCGACGTACATCTTCGGTCTATACGAGACGCGCATTCGACTTATAATGGAGACGCGGGCGGTGGTCCCTTCGTGGGATCTGGTTGACTTCGAACAGCGGGCCGTTGTTGAAGCGGTGCGTATTTCTCCCTCACGCCCCCCCATCCTTACCGATCCGTTTTGACCGTGAGCAGGACCAAATGAGGGCGTCGCTCTACGACGCCGAGAACTACGGCGTGCAGCCCGGCCCCCTTCTCGAGGAGTTCGTTTCGAACAGCAGGACTCCCTTCTCTGCCAGGTGGCCTGTCGGCACCGACTTCCGCCACATCGCCCGCCCCTACCCTGGTCCCTCCGATTTCGGAGGGTCTGCATGGTGGGAACGGTACCCCACGATGGCCCCTCCCACAGCAAGAATCGACCCGCCGTCCATGTCTTCCAATGGCAACCACCCCATTCACCGCGCGCGGACTCGCGGGCAGACAAGCGCAAGCTCCAGCACCACTGGCCAACCACGCCGACGCCGCGGCCCTCGTCTCAGCTGCACCGGCTCGGGCGGCCCCGTCACGCACGACACCATCACGTTGCGCGACGTCAACTTTTCCGACAGCGAAGAATCTGTGACCTCGGAGTTTGCCCGGGACTTGGGGTTGGGTCCTCAAGACACCCTGCCTTTCCGACCCGCCGGGGACCCAGCGGACCCAGCGGGGCGTCAACTTCGCGTCGAACACAAGCAACCGTGCCGTTCTTGTGCTCGGAAGCCGACGCGCTGCGTGGGCGTCCCCGGCGAATCGTGCACGATTTGCAAGGATGTCTCGAAGAAAGGCTGTGAGTACGCTGGAGGAGGAAGCATGGGTGATGACCAGTGGTGCGACGTCACCCCCGCCGAATATTTCCGCATCACGCACAAGATGTCGGCTCTGAAGCGGAAGTGGAAGGGCAAAGGTCGAGCGGACGGCCAAGGTAAGTTGAGTGTCAATCTCAGGGCTTTGGACATGACTAATACTTGTGGTCCAGAGTCACCCAACAAGCGCAGGCGGATGAAGGTACAAGAGCGTGCGGCGGACGTAGTTGCCACGGTGGAGGATCTCGTTGGGAGTATTGCCCACGTCAACGCTCAGCTCGAGCAACTGCGAGCGTCGTTGGATCAAGGAACGCAGGTCGACGACCTCAGACTCTTGGCGAAAACGGCGCGGGTTCACTGGGACATTGTGGCTGCCGCGGGCCCTTCTGATATCTCCCTTGCTGGGCCCAGCGGTACGCAACAGACAGAGGACGAGGACATGGAGGAGGAAGAGGGCGCGGACCAGCAGAACGCGAGCGACGAGTGAGACGCGGATTTGGTGACTTTGTGATCTATAGTTTACATCTTGTTTGCATCTTTTCGTACATTACAATAGATTTCGTGAATTGCTTATCATGGGGACCTTGTCGAGATGGCGGACTGACAGGCGGTGATCTCAGGACGCTTCATGGTCCCTTCTGTTTTGAGTCTTTCCTTCTTCGCTCACACCGCACCGCTCCAGTTTTATACACCCTTACCATTTGCACGTCGCTCATTATTTTCCCTCTTCTTTTCCAGCGCTTTTCCGCATCCTTTTAACTTTCCTCGTCCTGTTTCCCTCATCCTCTGGTATCATCATGGCTGCTGTAATGGGTCCCTCCATCGCGCCGCGCACAACTATAGTGGCCATCCGCCATCCGCCATCCGCCATCCGCCATCCACCATGCACGGATATCACCCGTTGGCAACGCCCGCGATGTGAGAGGGCGGAAGCTTTCCCCACACCACGCCGCTCCCGTTTTATACAACCTTATCATTTACACGTCGCTCATTATTTTCCCCCTTCTTTTCCGGCGCTTTTTCACAGCCTCTTCATCCTACTTCCCTGGTCCCGTCTCGTTCATCCTCTGGATTCGTCACTGCATAAAGCTCGTTGGTTTGTTGCACAAGTAGACATAGAACAAATGAGACTTTCAAAATATTGAACCAAGGAGGGATGGATCCTTGAGCGGGTCTTCTCCCAAGACTGGCCAGTAGTCCCCATCTTTACAGTAGTTTTATAGGTACAGATTGAACATGCTGCGCCGATGGGTCTCAAATACAATCCCATTGGGCGGCCGCCACATCCGCCGAAATTTGCCTGGAGGCGCGAAGGGGTGCGGGCGCGCCCTCGTGGCCGTAGAAGGGGTGAGCAGGTTCTCACCGAGAAATCACTCAATCCACCCTTAGAAACGGACGAGGCTGAATGCTTGACCTCGCCAGAACAGGGCCAGGTAGATCCTATGTTATGGCGGATGGCGGACTGGCCTCTATAATGTGGATGGCGGACGGACTACGTTCCACAAACGCTGACAGATGGGCCTGCGGTGTAGGCCGCCTGGCCCATCCGCCATCATCAATGCTACTTGCTCACTGTTGGA